GAGTGGAGTTTAGGTGGGTGAGGATTGTGACTAAGAGCTCTGGACTTCAACAAGTTGGACAATTAGTGCATTCATTGTCATATTACTGTTTCCCAGCTTGACACCCAGATACTGGCGTAAACTGTTGCTCTGAATGAGCCACCGAAGCTGCAGTCAGAACAATACAGGCAGTTGCTTTTCTGGCTACAGCAAAGTCAGTTGTAAAGGTTACCACCTGCCATCCAACCTGCAGCTGTTCTTCACTGCCCCCGTAAGTGCACGTGTGCTCTCTGCCTGTGCCTCTTCTATCAACATGATCTTGTGGTTTTCAGGAACATTTAAAAACTTGTTGTCGAAGATATAACAAATATTACTTGCTTTAACCACATCTATTCCTGACAGCATATGCCAGACGTGAGCGTGAGGGAGAAGAATTAATATAGAGGCTTTTTTAAGAGAAAGAGACATCTTACAGCAATCCTGATGGCTTGTCCGTGTGGAAATCAGATTGCCTACCAGGTGTTTTGTAAGCAGAACACAGTAATTTAAAGGCAAAGTTGACCCTTTGTGACCTGCATGATATGTGGAGCTAGTGCACATGTTTTTTTCTTCTGTGCAGCTGATGTGTTTCAGAAGTAGTGTGTACAGCTCAGATCTGCAGAGACAGGTAGTTACCTACTAATATAAAAGTAAGTCCAACTTCTCTTTAAATACCCTGTTGCTCCAGCAAACAGATCTGCCTTGGATCTTCCAGTGACTCATCATAAGCTGTCTGATACCTTATTTTAGACCTGCTACCCTCAGGCAGAGATCAGCTGCTGGTATTTTAACAAGAAGCTGCTTCAGCTGATCCTTCATTTTAATTTGTGATAAACCTGATGTCCTAGAAGTGCCTGATCTCATGGGGTGGAAGAAGACAACACATGGAGGAACTATTTGTTTACCCACAGAAATGCAAACACATTCTTATTTTAGACCAGAAGCTGTTCAAGGCAATGATTGTCATGCATTATGGCTGTGTCTACGGTTATTTTAGTGTAGGACCTCAGTTTATCCAGAGGTCCAGATTCTCCACTGCCCCTACTGCTAACAAAAAACCTGGCTAGCTGGCTTCAACTTCAGAAAGAATCAAATGGCCATTTGGGAAAGGAAACTAAAGTTGAGAAGTGGGTTTACTCATATTTCAGTAGTGAACCTGCAAGTAGTAAGTAGGGGTGCTATTGTGGCCATACTCAAGCCCCGCACTTCTTGTTAATGGAGATGTAGGGTATGTAACAGTGCTTGAATTGTTTGCAGCTTCTGGGTAGACTGATACTACTTCTGTTCAGAACATAGGGTTAGGAGACAGCATGAAAGTGTTGTGAGTTATTTTTATCAGAAGACATTATGATGCTGCTGTTTACAAATAGGCAGAGAATACAGCATCCACTTTTTGAAAAAACCCTGCTATTTCTGTGGCCTTTTTTTAGGAACTTCTGGGCACAAATCTATTTCTGCCTAAGCATTGACGGCATTAGGAAATGCTTTGAAAGTGCTTTAAAAGGCTTGATGCTGTTGTGATTCACTTACTTAGCTGCACTAGTATCTGAGGACTGAGTGTGTGTTCACAGTAACTCTTAGATTATAGAGATGTTTGGAACAGGGACTTAGTCTTGATGTGCAAATAGAATAAATAGAATTAGTGTTTATGCAGCCTTCTGTAGATCTTCACTCTTTTTGTGTGGGGTGGGACTACTGTGAGTCAAACCCAACACTAATTTGTCAAAAAGAGTTATAACCAACATTCAGCCTGAAAAACAAATCCTGTGAACCATTGTTTCTGACACATTTGTGTTGGATGGTTGAGAATAGTACCTTGGAAAGAGAGGTATAGATGTACCCGTGCACATCCTTCCTTATAGGTTTTATGGTGCCTCAGAAAAGCAAAACCAGGAGGAGACCTATATATCTACCGTTTTGATACAAGCATTGGAGTATTCTGGGATTTGTTTGAGATAGGTAGGTTTAAATGTTGTTTGGTGATGGGGTAATAAAAATAATAGACAGACACATACACAACATGGTTGCACACATGTCTTTTCCTAAGGAAAGTGGGCTAGGAGTATGTTATGAGAAGGTCACTAGCAGGGCGTTAAAATGATCGGGAGTGACTCTGCAATATGTCCTGTTTCCTCTGTGTGTGTATTCACTGTAAATTGGCCGGATTCTGAGAGGGTGTAAATTGAGAGAGCTTCACTGGAGTCACAGTCACTGGAGCATTTTGTAGGCACTCAGGAACCCAAATGTGCTGCTCCAAAGAGAGAGTTAAGCCCCACTTGTGCACAGAAGGCTGGAGAAACAGTGCCCTTTTCTGCCTTTGCAATTCATATCCTCTCAGCGAATGTAAAAGCCCAGGAGGCCCCTGTGGACCTCATGAGTGTCAAAGCTATGGGGAGCCCTGGGGCTGCGGTCCCAGCACCCTCCACACCGCTGTCCCAGCGTTTGACTCCGCTAGGACACATCAGGGCTTAGGTTTCATGCTCAAAGTCACTGCTGTCTCTAAGCAGAGGGGTTACTTTGCTACACAATGGACACTGCCAAAACTAAAGCCATGATAAGTGTGAAACGTGCTGTCAAATGCAGAACAGGTGGGCTCTGAGTTCCTAAGGGTGTCTTTTGTCAGTGACAAAGTGAGCTTGTGCAATGTCTTTCCAAAGCATTAACGTGCTGTCTTGACGCATCCGTTCCTGGCACGCTAACTGGCGACTGGTTGAAAATAGATAAGCAAAGAGACAGATTTGTGAGAAAACCAAGAGACACACCAGGGTTGTGTCTGGGCCCAGATATTTCAAAATTGGTTGGAGAGAACCTTATGCTTCTCTGACAGATACACAACCAGGAAGAAATCTGAGAGTGAGCAATTAAAGGGATGGCTGAAGTTTCTAAGGCTGGGTGAAGAGCATCACGCTCTGTTCAAGGAAAGGCTCAGACTTTGGTGCAGTGTCTCCTGAGCTGACCTAACCACTGCCGTGATCCCATTTTCCCCACCTTCTCCTCAGCGGTGTGTTTCTTCTGCCTTCCTTCTTGCACTTTGCTGGCAATCGTAAATTTTTGCACTGAGCTGGTTCACAGTGCTCACCACACTGACGTAGCAAGCTGAAACAGCTCAGCAGAGATCCCGACAGCAAGAATGTGTGAGCAGGAAGAGGTGGGAGCATAGAAACACATCTTCTAGTACTTAGATACCTTGGGCTGTCATGGAACCACCTCCAGCACACCACTCTGACAGGATACTGGGAGGAGATCTGCATTACTGGTAGGGCTGCTCTGTATTGTGGCTGTGTGGCTACCTCCTCCACACCACTGTCCCAGGTGGCTGTTCTGGTCCCCGTATTGTAGCACATGACAAATTCCCTTGTGTCAGCTGCAGGCTAGATTGCAGAACTGATCCAACTTGGAAAAAAAATAAGTGTATTTTTCTGAATTATCTTATTTACTAATCTGTTCACCAACACGTTTGCACGGTCCTGTGGACTGGAGCAACTGGGGGAGCAGCGTGCCAATGCAGTTAGGTGAGAATGAGCAGTACACGATGGTAGTTGGGGAAACAAGAAAGGCAGTAATACCCAAAGATGGTTTTGCCCCTAAAGATTCTTAATAAGTAATATCAAAGCAGAGAGACAGAGATTGACTGCTCCAAGGAAGCAAATCATGTTGCAAAATATGCTTTAATTGATACATTGCTAAATGCTGCTTAGCATCATCTATAGCTGGAAACTAGTAATTTTCCTTGGTGGAGGCTAGGTCTTCTTTGTTCCACTCTCAGAAGCTCGATCAGATGTTTGTCAGGAGTTGCAGTACTGCTCAGGACTTATGGCAGCCCTTTTGTGTTGAAAACATCCAACTTTCTGATCGTGTGTCGCTGCATTATAGTGTGCTTGCACTGCAGACAGCTGGAATAAACAGCTTGAAAAGGGAAAACCCACATGGGCACAATGTGTGGGGGGCAGTGCAGGCAGTGCAAAGCCCCCATCCCCTTGCCAGGTACCTTTGCAACTCGGGAGGCTTGAAGCTGTACCACACCGAGTGCCTGAACTACCGAGGGGCAAAAAAGGTTTTGAAGCAGTACCTGTCTCTCCTTGTTCCTTTTGAGGGCCTGATCCTCCTCTGGGTGAGACATACTTGTGATATACAGTCTTCTTCAGCAGCTTAGCATTCTCTATCCTAAGAAGCACTTCACCTTCTGACCCTACTCCCCCTCTTCTAGAATTTTGCCCACTGTAGTGGCCTGAATGTCCTTCTCTTTTCCAGCTGATATATTTGTCTAAGTTTGTTAATAGGCAGTTTATCTCCTTTTGTTCTTCTGTGTATTTTGTTCACTAAAGCAGAAAGCTCTTACCCTTCCCTGGCTTTACCATTCCTGTGTTCCCAGATAGCAGTTCCTTCCAGTTAGCCCCTGCAGATGAGATCATCTGTGCCATTTAAACAGATTAAATGAACCCAGGCAGACTGGAGTGCATGGAGAGTGACTTGCCCTGCCATACACAGTGGCAAAGCATGAAGTTGAATCCGTAGCTTTGTCTTTGCTTGCTATAATCACAGTTTATAAGGACACACAGTTTGTGTAGAGGAATGTCCTTATTCTGTCTTCTGGCCTTCCTCTTGGGTGCCCCTGACTGCAAAACAAATAGCGAGGGAGAAACAGAGAAACAAAACCACCCTGTGAGATACAAAAGATGTGAGATCCTGGATAATATCCAAGTTCCTTTGAAGTGAAGGCTGAATAGATTAGGAAAAGTGTAATTGAATTAAAGCCACTCTTTTCTGGAGCAGATATACTTTTACCCTGCCTAAGCAATTTCCTGGTTGAGTTTTTTATCACTTTCCACCACCTGCTCGTTTCAGAGGACGACACTCCAGAGATTACTCTGAGCCAGTGCCAACAGCCAGCATTTCTCACTCCCCTCTGGCCCGCCTCCACCCCGTGCACTCCTCTAGACACACACGCTGATATAGAATGACAGCACATTGCCACAGTTTAGATGACACTGCCTCTGCCTCTTCAGAAGGACAGGTCCTCCAGAGAGCACCAGCCACAACAACTATCCACCCTTGCAAAAAACATCTTCATCATGGCATATAAAGCAGCACATTTGGCCTTTAAGTCGCGCTGGCACAAGACAGATGAAGAACTCTGTCGACACAGTATGTCCTTCGTCTTGCATACGGCGATCCGCAATGACTTCTTTCAGAGTTATCTTTATCTGCTGGAAAAACTTCCCCTGGGTGAGTAGCTGGTGGGCAGGAGCGTCTGTGTGCGTGTGTGACCATGCTCCAGAAAAGGCATATTATGTTAGATGGTAGAGTGCACACACATTCATTACAATAACAAGTAGTTTTGAGAAGCCCAGCTAGAGAGACTACGGTGCTAGCGAAACTATTTGGTACTCTCTCTCTCTCAGCTCTGTCTAATTTAGTAATCTGTTGTTTTACCTAAATACTCCACAGATCATTAGGGGAGGGTAAGGGAAAGACCACAAGAGTGAAAAAGTTTGTTTTCTGGCTGATGGTTCCTTTTTTTGTCACCGTTTAAGTAAAACGTGCGTTGACCTGTTTAGAATTTGGAAGGACAAATGCAAAACTAGCAGAGCTGGCAGGCCTTACTTTCTGTTGCCTGTTTTGTTGTCATTCAGTGTGTCCATAGCCTTGTCATTTGTATTGTTTTGGACAAGTGCTTGAAAGGTAATGATTTTAAAATTTTTTTTCAAGAGATTTTGTAATCTCAATCTCCGCAGCAGGCTGTTTAACCTACTGTTTGTTATCAGGGAAGAAAATGCTTCCAAAATGTTTGTTTATAGACAAATTTCAGTGTAAGCCTCTGGTACAGGATGCCAAGACATTTTTTTTTTTAGATGCAGAAAGTGAATGCTCATTTCTTATGAAAATTTGACCCTAAATAAGAAGCAAAATTTCCCCAGGACAATATAGCTAAAAAGTGGATTTGATTTGAGCCTGTATTACTTTAGCATGTCACTTTTTAAGCAGAATTATTCAGCCTCCACTCAATGTTAGAACTGTAGGAATTTAAGATGGAAAGGATGTGTCTGTGCAACCTGTTAAACATGTTAAGAATGAAATCCTTCACAGTGAATTCTTGAGGGCTCCTTCCTAATTGAATGATCCATTTAGGCGAGTGGATTATCTTACCTGTTTGTGTGAAACTATACAGACCCCAGTGAGACTCTGCTCCAGATGGTAGAATTCATGAGTCCTGTAAAGAAAAAAAGCATTTCCATGTTATCTTAGTATTTTGATGCGGCTTTTCAAATGCAGCAATATCTGAAACTCTTTAAAATGAAACATGGAAGATAAATACTCCTATCCCTAGTGGTAGTTAGCTGTGAACGATGGAAAGGAAGGAAAGAAGGAAAGGAAGGAAAGTCAATTATAGGTTGATGGAATCTCAAGAAGTCTATGAAAATGTTATTCTTTCATTTGTTTTGAAAATAAACATAACATATTAGAAACTGAGCAGGATTTCCTACAGTGGTAGCTGTTAGTGTAAGTACTAATAAATCATTTTAAGGCTAGAAGATACGATTGTGAACATTTAGCTTAGAATTTAATGTAAAAGTTTCTGTATCATGCTTGTAACTTACAACTGGGTTAGAATATATATTTATGAAGACAAAAATATTTGGTTTAAGGGGTGCAAATGACTGAGAATTCATCAGTCCATCATTAAGCTGTTTCCAGGCCTAATTGCTTCACTCTTGTAAAACTATATTTTTTGTCTGAATTTTATTTGAATTTCCATTCCCAGCCAATAAGCTTTGTAAAATGTTCCTATATCAGACTAAAGATCCCCCCTGCCAGACTTTTCATGACCTGAATTATTAAAACTTCACTAAAGAGCTTATAAGCTTATTACCAGCCTATCTAAATTAGTTTGGCTCCACAGAAAAGGTACTGTGAGTCCAGCCTTCATGTGGACATGCAGTAGGTCTGTCACTCCATGGTTACTGTCATGAAGTAAAAGTGTGTATAAGGACAGGTACTGTGGGTAGCTCCAAGAAACTTCAGAGCATGCTAGGATGTCACGTTCTGGATGGTAAAAAGTGGTTGAGTGATTGGGCTCAGAAAGTCGTGGTCAAATCTTGAGATCAGTGGAGTACCACAAGGGTCTGTCCTGGGACCTGTCTTGTTTAACATCTTTATCAGTAACCTGGAGGAGGTGAAGGACTGCTTGCTCATCACATTAGCAGATTGTGGCTAACCGGCAGGGCTTGTCCACAAGTTCTAGGTCAGGACTGCCATCCAAAGGCACCTGAATAGGCTGGAGGAAAGAGACAGTGGGAACCTGGTGAAATTCAAATTCACTGAAATTCCAAGGCAAATGCCAAGTCCTGTACCTGGAAAGGGAGAACCTTTGACAACAACAACACAGACTGGGCAGTGGCTGGCCAGGGAGCAGCCCTGCTGATGGGGTTTTGGTAGACAGCAACTGAGCATGAGCCACCAGTGTGTCCTGGCAAAGAAAGCCAACAGTATCGTGGGCTGCATTAGCAAAAACATAGCTAGTTGATTGAGGGAAGTGATTATCCTCTTCTGTGCAGCAGTCATTAGGCTGTATGTGTGGAGTCTTGAACTCTCACTGCAGGAAACGACACAGAGTGAGCTGGATGACCTCCAAGGTGGTGAAGGAACTGGAGCACATGCCCTGTGAAGAGAGTCTAAGGGAATGGAGCATGTTCAGCCAGAAGAGACAGCTTCAGGGAGACCAAATATCCAACTGCCAGTACCTACATGATGATGAAGGAGATGGAGCTGAGCTCTGCACGGTGGTGTGAGGCAGGAGGACATGAGACAGTGGCCATTAATGGAAACAAAAGAAGTTCAGACTGGCTA